GGCCCGAAACCCCAAATCTCGGTTGAGCCTCCCACAACCCAACAGCAACACTCCAAGAGGGACTCTGGAGTACATCGACCTGGACATGCCCGTGGGTCACTCACTCCAAGGCGTCTTGGAGATCAATAGGACGTCGGTCTGGGACAGGGTTGCCGGTGTCACATCCACAGTGCGTTTGGCCAGGCTTGTCACAGAAACCCAAGATAAGAAGCCGAAGCGAATCGTGTTCTTTCGCAGACAATACTGCTACTGGCGGCTCATACTGCGGGGCATACATTGAAGTTGGCAGTTACAGTTGGGGATTGCTCCCACGGAAGTCGGCTTCCTCCTGAGGCAAGGTTGTTTGCTCCAAGACTGGTGCGCTGATGGGCGTCGGTGTGCACGGAGTGGCCATCGTGCGTGCTCTGAGTGGAGACGAGCCCATGGTAATCAGTGCGACGGACGCCTGGACAAGAACTGGCCCCGAAAACTTACGGGTCTTGGCAAGCCAGAACCTAAACCGCGGACTTGTGACCAATTTAGCGACCGCCAAGAGAAGCTCCCAACGGCTGTCTGTCGTCTGAATGTTCGATGATGCGACGTCAGAATCTCCAAGCATTCGAACGCTTGCTTTTGGCCTTGACTGCTTCTGACATCTTCTGACACTCAGGCCCAGCAGTCGCAACTTGTCAGGAATATCAGCCCGTATCGATGCCAATCTACACCCACATGGACTCGCAGCAACTCTTGCAGAGCCTTTCACAGATGCAGTACTTGTGGTGAGAAGCATCTAAGACCTATGCCGAGTGCAGCGCATGTTTTTCGGACTTGAATGATCGACTTGAAATGTCAGTTCTGAGAGTGTCCATGCTACGAATGAAGTTCCTTGCCCCGTTGGCGCTGTTGTAAGCTGCAGGCCCGACGACCCGGGGGTCGATGCAGCCATGAGTTGCAACCTTCGCTTCCAAAGCGGCTCGGAGTGGATTGAAGTGGGACTGCTGGGGCTTAAACAATAAATGCTTGTCCAGTCCTGAACCCTGTCGCTGTAAACACAGGTCAGTCGAGTTGCTAGACTCGCTGTTTCAGGGCGACAACTTGGAAGACGAACATGCGTCCATTGTCCTGGTACTGCCACGCCTAGAAGACTTCTGGTCCAACGACGGCGAGTGCCAAAACCCGACCGATTCTGCATTCGTTCGGAAACTTCTGCTGGAACACATCTGAACTTTATTTCATGCTGTAGAGCGCATACCGAAACAATGCATTAAGTTCCTGCCACATCGACCCGAGTGATCCCTGCAAAGCTGTAGCCTGAAGCCACAATGCTGCAAAGCGAAAAGAGCAGACGTGGAGGCGGTGCGGGTGCTCACATCGGATGTTCCATTCTTCCCCAGATGGCCAAATCGCCGACGAGCCTGTTCTTGACATTGGCGAGAAGGTTCTTTCGAGTTGCCAAACCGTGTACATTTTTTGATTTGGGTCATTTTGGGTCTTCTTCGCAGTGACAGCACGTCTGAACAGGACGTTGAGAGGATTCCAGGGGCTTTTAGGGCAGAGAACAGTCATTCTGGCCCTTCTGACTCCTGCGGAGCTGCGGGAGTCGCTGAGATCTACATTTGGTTGAAGCCGAGACGGGGAGTGGGACGACCTGCGGCCGTTCGGATGTCTGTTTTTGTAACGGAACGCAAACTCTAAGCAGCTCGAATCCGCCCACCATACGATTCCGTCTTGCTAGCCATTGATTCCCAGGACACGCGCCGGCAGCTATCAACAGTTTTGGACCCTGCAAAGCCACCCTAACTGCTCTGAAGAGCTGTTGCCAAACGTCCAAACTCCACCGCCCTGATCGAACTCGTGCTAGGGTCACAAGTGTACAGAATCCTCGGGTCTGGCAGCTTCTGGTGCCTGTTGGAGTTGGTAAGAAGATGTTTGCAGTTCATGCTGTTCCTGATGATTCCCGCCATCTGAAACAGCATTGCGATTGTGATATCGCTTGTTCTGGAATGAGAGCCGCCGATACCTCTGCCGCCTTTGCTCTTGTTTCTGCTGCAGCTACCCCTACAGGTACTTCTAGAATTACTTCTGGAACTACCTGCCACTAGTTGCTACTGCCACTGCCTCTGCCACTGCTACTGCTGCTGCTACTACTGCGACTACCACTAGCACTGCTACTCTACTGCTTTTACTTTCATGCTGCTGGCGCGGTGCAACTTGCGTGAGGAAGTTCACGATTTCGGGCACTGATGGCATCATCCGCCCTGAGCTCAGCCAGCATAGTGGAGCAACGCTGATCCTGGGGAATGGGAGACAGGGCGGACTTGATGTGGCAAGCATAGCATCACGGCAAACTATGCGCAAAAAGTAATTCTGGTCGTGTCCTGGCTATCCTCGTGAACGTATCTTCGAGAAAGTTGGACCGGCTCCCCGAAAGCGAGCGGATTGCACTTCAGTCGACACAAGTGGCAGATGATGCAGGTGTACGGGAATGGTTCACCGGCCAGGGGAAAAGCTCCAACGAGATTGCGCTAGAGCAATTTGCAGAGATCCTCAGCTGGCATCTAGAGGGCTTTCTAAGTGCGACCACTGCTACTGCTGTGTCATCGCCACCACCAGCGGCAGCATGATCACCAGCACCAGCACGACCTAGTCGGCTACTGCTTCAGAGCTTCCATCGATGCCATGCCGACTTGTTCGAGCATTGTTCTGACCAGGCTATCTGACACGGCTGACCCTACCTATGTCATCTTGCGAGTGCTCCCCAAACCAGCAACAGCCGGCATTTAAGGGTCTTTGGAAGCTACTCAGCTGAGGAGTGGCGAAACTTATGTGGAAAGGGTGGACAATGCCGTGAACCGTGACTGAGCTGCAGTCCTCCTCACGGTAGTGCAGACGAAAGCTGCTTTGAACCTAAGATGCCTAGGATGGCGTCAATTGAGGCGATACTTTCTACTACCAGCTCATGTCCTTCGTAGACGAAGTCTTTCACCAAGAGCGTGGACAGCGCCCTGGTGAAAAAGAAGGCTGGTGGCTAACTTGCCTTCAAGGCTCTTCTGCAGCTCACTAGCCCGTCCCAGGCTTCTGCTCATCGTATCCAACACTAGGAGCCATCGCGAGATCCGGAACTCCGAGAGCATGCGGTTTGCGACAATCTCACGAAGCTGCTCCTGACAATGTGACCCCCTCCATGCAAAAGCCTGCACTTTCATGGCAAATCGTGCAGAAAGCAGAAGAATCCCAATTGCTCCAAGATCTCTCCCTTCCACGTAGCGTTGCTCCAAGATCTCTCCCTTCCACGTAGCGGGACGTATATTCGATGTGGATGGGACATGATGGGACTACAAGTTCTGTCAACCTCCACCTGTGGGTTTCTCATGTCGAGGAACATGGGCATGCCATGGGCCTACTTGAACAAGGGCCCAGCGGACACCGTGCGGAACGTTGCCTTGCTAGACGACATCTACCGGAAGGTTCAGGGAGTCACGGGCAGGGGTACTTTTACATTTGACAGTGGAATTCTTTGAACAGCCACTTGTTGTCATCAGTTGTTGTGCTTGTTCTCACAGACGGTGCCCTTCTCCTTGCCTCAGCAGCCGTGAAGCAAGCCAGGCAGGAATGAAGCCGCGTGGTTCGGAGACACTGCCGCCTGAGCCGTACAACCGGATTGGCCTTGCAAAGCTGTAAAGCCTTCCTCTAGAGTCGAACAACCGAGGCAAGGGTACAAACCTGACTTCTAGTCTTTTCTATGCGAAAAATGAACCCGTAGCGCTCGTCCATCAAGAACCAGCACATGCTGGCCCTCAACCTGCAGCCAAAGCTCAATGCCACACGATGCCAGACCCCCAAAGCCATTGCACGGTGCCTCGTTCGCTATACAGGCCAGCAGGCTAGTCGGACTTGGGTTTTCAAGCGTTCAGAGAAAATTCTTGCACTTTAGTGTACTTCGCTACCCGGTCGGACCAGGCTATGGCTTTTGCAAGCTTTGCTCGGGCACTCGGGGGCACAGCGAAGCGGCGAGATGCGAGCGAGAAGTAGTTACACCTTCGAAGTAAACCGTTCACATCGTTTCACAACTAGTTGATATACATGTGTACGTGTTCACACAGTTATACATTTCATGTACGAACACATACATCAGTTGTTCAATATCCAAAGTCGGCCGAGACAGTGTGCGATGTTTAGGTTGCTGTCACTCATAGCAGTATATCAACCTGAAGCCGTCATCCGGCGATGCGAAAGTGCCAATGTTTGAGGCGGTTCGTGACGAAGTCTTTTGCTGTTGGAACCATTTGGCTACTTCAGCAAGTCTCTTGCAAACTGCAACACTCCGAGATACACTGTAAGGGGCTAACCAGCACGCCCTCTGCTTCAACCAGACGCCAGTCGCAGATGCGACCCATCTTCCCGAGCCGCTAGTCCTCAGCAGCCGAGTGTCGAAGTTTCAATGGCTTTCGACAGTTTCCAACTCGCTTTTGAAGTACGCCGCAGAGAGACCACCTTAAGATGGGCAGGGAGTGGAGGAGAGGCTTTGGGACCCTCCGAACCACCAGCGACTTCCGACATCGTCATGCCGATCAGCGGCAGATTGTCTAAGCCAAGCTTAATCGGAAGTCGGTTCTTGCCTCAGCACAGAGCAGCAAAGAGCAGGATGCTCATGATGTGGCATTGGCCCGTCTGTGCATGTCTGAAATTGCTCCATCCCAAGTGTTTCACATGTCAACTTACATGTTGACAGACGGCGATTATTCGGCAAAAACGACTTCTTTTGTAGTGTCCTTGCAGCATCTGCTGCAGCAAGCAACTGCGACTTGTGTGGACTCCTTCGCTATCGCATATCCAGTTGTTCCTTGCTTCGTTTAACTATTGCTGCGTTCCAACGAGTTTTTGCTCCGTGCATCCTGTTTGCAGACGGTGCTGAGCGGGCTGCTTACTTCAATTGGCTTAAGACAGGGTCACAAGAGGCCCTGTGCAGGACTCGGAGCGTGTTGGGCTCCTCTGAACCACTCACTGCGGCGACCCGGCAGGTACACTCACGAGGTCGTCACAGTCTGGTACCGCCCCCCCGAGATCTTGCTCGGCAGCCAAATGCGTCTTGGCAGCTTGCGCTTGAGGTTGATGGCGCTTGAGTGCTCATCCGGGGGCTGAGATGCGGCGTGAACCGGTGAACACTGGTGACATCATCGTGATGTTGCATCACTGGCAGTATCGTGTTAATGTCCTTGTCATTGTGATTGATGACTACTGGCACTTTATGTGTACTACTGCTATCGCAGGCAGCGATTCCAGCAGTAGTAGTAGTAGTAGTAGTAGTAGTAGTAGTAGTAGTAGTAGTAGTAGTAGTAGTAGTGGTAGTGGTAGTGGTAGTGGTAGTAGTAGTAGTAGTAGTAGTAGTAGCATTTTCATTCCCCACGCTGCATGACACTCCAGTCTGCTTAGCGAGCTAGCATCACGCCTTTAACGTGACGGATCCTCAGGTGGGATCTGTGATGGGTCGGATTGACCAGCATCACACTACCGACCTTTCCAGTCACTCGGTATAACGTCTTTCTCGTTCTCAGCGTAGACCTGGCTCATAGCGAAGCCAAATCACATAGGCTGCAGTGCGATGCAAGTCGTGATCAGCTGATGTGCAACTCCGCGCAGCTCGATCATCGTCGGTGTGCCAACTTTTGTCAGCTCCATAGAAAGGCTGTCCATTCAGCACAGCCCTGTAATGCCCCTCAGTTGGTGCATCCCCAAAATGCAGCGCCATTGCCACGACCTGGTATGGGGCTTGTTGGCATATCACCTCATTGCGAAGTTCAAGGCTCTCAGATCGAAAGACAGGCATGTGCACTGTAGATAAATGGCCTTTGAGAGGCCGTAAGTCTCGCCGCATTGTCCCCTCCTCATTGTGAAAGCGGAGCAGCTGCAAGCACAGGTAGGGTGCAGGTGCAGTGAGGGCATGAATGCAAGGTTGCCTGTGCCATGCATCCACGCACCACTGCAGATGACATGTATCACCTGTGCAGAGAGGGATGGGAATGGGAAGATAGGCAGGTCCTCGGTCGAGCACATTAAGGTGGCCATCTCTGAATCTGCGTGCCTCCCAGCTCGGAGCCTCATGGCCAGGAGGCCAGCTAAGGCACCTAGGCAAGAGATAGCCGAGGAACTCGCAAATGTCATGTTGCCGATTGATCTGTGGCCACTGCCCAAGCATCATCCTCCAAGGCAAAAGGCGAGCTACCTGAATGGAGGAGGCAGATCGTTTGGAGTCAGAGATAAGGGTGGCAAAGCACTTGTGGAGTGCTAATCTTTAATTGCCGTGGCGCTGCAGTTGCAGAATCGTCCAAAGGAGGGTATATATGGAGGTGTGCATGTAGCAGTGATTATGTGGGTTGTGAAGTTGCAGCTTCAAGATCTGACTGAGGCTGAGGTCGCGGCTCTGTGTCAGAGTCCCTGACGAACTTGATCCACCAGGGTGTTGATTTGCGGTCTCTCCTTCCGCAATCTGCATCCTAGCAAGTGCCACGCCGATTGGCCGATCCACTTCTGAAGTGTGGACCAGACAGGGTCTCCCAGTGGCCTCAGCGAGATCTCCATGCGGAACTGGATCCATTCCGATGTAGGCTGATCCGTCATCTTCTTGTAGCTCCGAAAGCGATGCAATGCCTCTTCGCATATTCCTTTCCGCATTTCCACAGTCTGCTTGAGCAAATCGTCTGTACTCGCCGGTGGCTGATTCTCGTCCACTTGCAGCTCCATCTTGACTGGATCCCACTTGAGAATTCTCCAATTGCCGCGATCGTCCATCCAGTTGAGCTTCTTCGCTTTTTCCACCTCCGATGGAGTTTTGGCTACTGTGGCCAGGCGACCGTGCAATTCGATCATCAGCTGCTTGAACATCGCGATCTTTAGGGAGTACGTCAGAGTGCATGGTGTTTTCTCCTTCTCGGCTCTCCACTTCTCTGCTGTTTGGTGGAGCAGAGACACGATGCTGCCCTGACCAGTGTTGACGAAAAGGTAGAGGGTGACATCCTGTCTCAGGGAGGCGATTGTCTGCTCCTGTTGCAGCACGAGGCGAGTGAGGTTCTGCATGTGCTGCTGGTAGTAGTACTCGGTCTCCCCGATGTAGTGATGGTTTGCCGGTGTCGTGACTTGGGTGGGCCACGGATTGTCCCACTGGTCGGAACCATTTGTGTAGTCCCAGGTCGGTGGAGGAACCGGCGCTTTGCCCTTTCCTTTCCCTTTCTTCCCTTTGCCTTTTCCCTTGGTCATCGGATATGTCGAAAAGCCTCCCTCCGGACGCTGCCGCTTGGTGGGCGGTAGTGTCTCCCGGTCCGGTTGCCCGAAAAATTTGGCCTCGTCCGAGTCTAGGTCCATCTGATCGAGGGTGAACGGAGTCATCATACCACACTTGGAGAAAAGCACATATGCTCAGTACGGGACACTGGTAGTAGTGTCGGTCCTTGTTCACCCTAAGTTGCTGGCAGTATCTGCATGGAAGTACGATGGTGCTGCGGAAGGCCTTAAGCAGTTGCTGTGCAGCTGCTCTGTGCTCGAGCCAAGAGGCATGTGCATGAGCCAGGTGGTGCTTGAGACCAGTCGTGTCCGCACACCACTGGAAGCAAACAGGGCAGTGGTGTAGCAGATACTGCTGCACAGGCGAATCACCAGCCAGTTTGACCCAGGAGCCACTGCTCAGTAGCTGCAGGACCTCAGAGCGGTGGATTAGAGGAGTGTCTGAAGTCGAGGTAGTTTCGGTGGAACAGGGCACAGTGGATGCAGCAGCAGTTGCCTCCGCCAATGGGCTGTTGGAGGGGGCCTCGTGTGTGACAGGCGTTGGCAAGTCTGGCATGGGCATCGAAGAAGAAGCGATGGCCTTTTTAGCAGGTGGAAGTTGGCTGCGATATCCTCTGAGGGTCGGGCACCTCCGCTTGCAGATGTGCTGCTTGAGATTGGCCCATTGTCTGAAGGAGTGGTGACATAGACGACAGGTGGGTACTCCGTTAATGCTGTGTTGACTCTTGCAGAAAACGAGCTCATTCTGCTTAGGAGCTTTCTGTGAATGCTCAGTGGATTCGTGAACCCTCAGCAAACGATAATTACGAAAGGCTCGATCACAACGGGAGCACTGATAGGGAGCAGCCGGGTCCACCTCGTCGGCTCCAGAAGACGAAGATAGCCATTGTTGTGCCTGCCAAAGTTGGAGCTGCGCCGCTATCTGTTGGGCACTCTTCACGTGCTGGGGTGCAACAGTGTCGCCGAAAGCAGTATTGGAGAAGAGCTGTCCGTGCAGGGCATGGGCCTCTTTGTGCAGTATGTCCAGAACGCTCCGAACCTGGAATCGGGCATAGAGGTCTTGGGTAGAGACTTTACTGAGGTGAGCAAAGAGGTGGGTGATGGCTCGAAGTTGTCGCGTGAGCTGATGCTGTAGACGTTGTATGTCCCGCAAACTGGGGGCTGATGGCGCAATGCCATATAGCATGGTGGGCAGCACAGTGGTTTTCCAAATCTCCACTCGCTTCCAAACATCCAGGCTACCTTTGGAACCCAAGATTTTCCTTAGTCTCTGCCAAGTTTGATTGGCAGCTTTAAGGCGATGGGCAATCGTGTGTTTGGCAGAGGAATGGTACGATATGGAGACCCCAGGTACGTGTGGTGTTCCTTGAGGGGGAAGGTGTATGTACGGCCCTTGGGCGTCCGGATGCGAAGATGTGGCTCAGAGTCACATACAACCTTGTGTTGCTTTAACCATTTCTTCGCAAATCCTCCTCGAATCCGGAGAAGGATGGCCGACTTTTTCTGGTTTATGCACATACATGCGTCAGCAAGTAGATCAAGTAGTGCACCGATGCGATATGTGGCTCGATCGAGGCTCCGGTAGGAGTTGACACAATCGGATGCATGATAGTCGTCCGCATAGCATGTGATGCTATGTGCTACCCAGCTGGGTGTAAGGTCCTGCTGGAGAATGGTTAAAAGTCAAAAGGTACCCTGTACAGAGACTCCATAGAATTGGAGCCAGCAAGCATCCCTGGCGCACGCCTCTGGAGGCGGTTATGCACTTCTCCCAACCCAGATGCCGTACGAAGTATCGAACTTCACTGTACCAGCTGGATACCCAGTCTTGAACTTCCGAGGGAAGGGCCGCTGCTGCCATTGACCTGGAGATCAAACCCCAAGACAGGACGTCAAACGCGGATGTCAAATCCAATGATATCTGTATACCACCTTGATTGCCCTGGCTTTTGGGCTTGGTCGGGATGGAGCAGGCTTCCTGGACATGCCTGCAGTGAGACTGCACGCGATGTATGGCATGACTGGTACTGCGATGAGCTAAGTATGCATATTGGGGAAGGGAGAGAAGGTAGCGATTGACGTGGGGTCTCAGTCTCCCCTGCACTATGCGGGCAATTGCACGGCCCCCTGCTTCGGTGAGCCCGATGGGGCGTAGATTACGAGGTTCCAGAGGTCGTGGAATTTTCGGGACTAACGTCAACCAAGCATCTCGCCATAGTTGCGGTACGCAGTCCATGTCGCGAGTCAGTTCAGCCAAGGTCGGGGCAAGCAAATCTGCACAGCAGTGCCACAAAGAGGTCGTGGCTTTGCCCGGAGGAGTAGCCTTGTGAACTGGCAGAAGCTGTAGTGCATGCCTGACCTCCTGGTCCGTGACCTGCATCTGAATGGTCGTAGGTGGAGAGGGTAGTGCCTCAGAGCAGGGGGCAGTGTACAGCTTGGTGTAGCGATCCTTCAGTTGATCAGCTTGAACAGAAGCGGCCTGTAAATTGCCGTGAGGGTCTCGAAGTTGTACAGCAAGTCGCTGAGACTTGGGAGCCAGGGTGCGTATTTCAGCATACAGTTGCCTCGTGTCCTTGGACTGAGCAGCCTGCTGCAGGGCCTGAAGACGAGTGTAGAACCATTGCTTTTTGGCTTCCTTGCCCGCCTTGCGAAAGGCTCGTTGCTTCTGTTGAAAAAGCTGGTACTGCCTCCATGCACTGATAACTGAGCGAAGGCCTGCTCCCCGTGGCTGTTTCCATGCACGATATGCTTGCCACATGGCTCGGAGTCCACCTTCCTTCACCCCTCTTGGCCACTTTTTTGCTTTCTTGCTTTTTTGCGGTTTTGGTGGGTATTTATAATACCACAGTGGGCTTGCGTTTGTATAGGATGCTGCAACTAAATGCTTACCCCATCAATTAAGCCCTAAAACCTAATCCCTAAACCCTAAACCGTGGAACCCTAACGAAGCTGCTGCCGTCCTGGGCCGCGGGTGCTGCTCATTCAGCCGGGGGGCTCGGCTCGCCAGGGCCGAATTTTGGATAAGAGGGTTAGCCCTAAACCCTAAAGCCCTAAACCCTATAAACCCCAAACCCTAGAAAATTCAATCCTAAACCTCAACCTGATACTATTTAAATTAATAGACTGCGCCGAAAGGCGATAATACAATGCGCCGAAAGGCGATAATTGATGCGCCGAAAGGCGATAGTGCGCCGAAAGGCGATAGTGCGCCGAAAGGCGATAGTGCGCCGAAAGGCGATAGTTTAATTTTAGTGTAGGCTGTAGGATTTAGGCGCTAGGCTTTAAGTTGTACGCTTTAGGCTTTAAATTTTAGACTCTAGGGTTTAGCCGTTTAGCCTTTAGGGTTTAGGATTTACCCTTTGTAGATTAAAAATGTATATATATATATATATATACATATATATAAAGAAGGATTAGGCAATAAATTCCGAAAGAGCGCCGACTGGCGATAGTCACGAAAGGCGATGTGTGTGTGTGTATATATATATATATGTGTGTGTATATTTATAATATATATATATATATATATCTCTATCTATCTATCTATATATATATATATATTATCGTATGGACTAGGAAGTTTAGGGTGTCGGGTCTACAACAGGCGGTGAACCTGAAGTTCTCGTGGGAATCTAAACCCGATTTTAGTGTTTAGCTTTTAGAATTTAGGGTTTATGTTCTAAGTTTTAGATTTTGGGGTGTAGGATTAGGGATTAGATTTTCAGGTTTAGGTTTTATATGCATTAGGCTTTAGATTGTGGGGTCTAGGCTTTAGGGTTTAGGCTGTAGGGCAAGTCCGAACCCATTCCCAAACTTTGAGAAACATCCTATCTCTCTTGACTTGGCTTGTTTTGTTTGGGTTTGGGTGCGGTGTTTGACGGGGTTGATCCAGTGGGCCTGGGGGGTAGCATTCCAAGTCACAAGTCCAATTCGAGTCGAACTTCATATGGGGTCAATTGGGTGTGCCGGCTTTTGTGTTGGTCGGCCGGCTTGTATTTGGGTGCCTTGGGTTTGGGATCCTAGTTGTTTTGGGAACCATGCAAGTGTTAGGCACCCGCCCCTAATCCCTGTCCCTTCCTCGCACCCTAGGCCCTGAAAAACCCAAACCCTAAATCCTATCCCTTCCAACCCCAAACCTTATCGTTTCCTCCCCTTCGGCACTGCACTTGGATTTGCAATAGTTCTGAGGTCCGGCGGCTTCTTCTGCATCTTCCATCGCGATCAATGTTCTGCAGGCCGGCCATAGCACGCTTGGATTCAGTGCACAGTCGGCTTTGGATTCTGTTTGCCGCACTATGTCAAGTCGAGTTGCCCACCGGTGCCCATCCCGACTAGTCTGTCTTGGCAGGAAGTGTCTGGAGAAGCTGCAGGAGCTGGGAGGCAACTGTGCGGACTCAGTTCGGGGTTTAGGCGGATGGGTTAAAAGGGTATTTATAATTAGGAATCAGGGTTTGTTGCAAGGCGCTAGTGGGTGGGTTTTAATGCGTAGGGTTCGCCGCAAGGTGCTAATGGGCTCGGGCTCTAGCAGGTCGTTCGCCGCAAGGCGCTAGGTGTTTCCTAAGTCGCCGCAAGGCGCTAGGGAGGGGTCAAATCGCCGCAAGGCGCTAAATAGATGAGGTCGGTGGTATATTTAGGTTGTGGGTTCGCCGACTGAGGTTCTCTTGATCGATATTCCCCTATGTCGCCTCCAAACCTTAATGCCTTTGAAATCCTGAACCCCGCTATACTCTGGATTGCCTGAAGTCCCAAATGGGGTGTTCTGTAATAGACGAGCTCTCTTTTAAAACGCATGAGAAACCCTACACCCCTAGCAGGTTCCATAGGTGCGGGGTTCTGAGTTTTATATACTGAGACACATCCCACTCGATTAGCTAGTCGAAATGCATGTAGCCGTGATTTACCCCTCTACTTCGATCATTACTAGGCACCTCCATTTTGTTGGTCAAGCTTTGTGACTTTGGGCCTTTGGGTTTATACTTCTTCCTGGCCTGTCCCTCTCCATTTGCCTTCGACTTGAGGCGCGGTCGATCTTCGTGGATGATCCTCTGGTGCTGACGTCGAAGATGACAACAGGACTCCTGCTGGGCTGCCTGCTTCGATCCGTGCATTGTACATGTCTTGCGATTATCTGCAATCTGCGGCAACCTGTGGCTCCGTGTGCTCGTGTGTGTGTGTGTGTGTGTGTGTGTCTGTGTGCAGAGGGCGGAACATTGTGCTGAATCAGTTCATTAGCTGATCGCAGCATGGAACTCCACCCAGGGCCCTAATACCCTAAATTCAACCCCCTGAACTTTAAACCCTTAATCCGACTAAGGGGTTCGGGATTCAGCCACCCAGGGCCCTAATACCCTAAACTCAACCCCCTGAACTTTAAACCCTTAATCCGATTCAGGGGTTCGGGATTCAGCCACCCGGGGCCCTAATACCCTAAACTCAACACCCTGAACTTTAAACCCTTAATCCGATTCAGGGGTTCGGGATTCAGTGTGAGGTCGGGCCAATGCTAAACAAATTGTCCGTCTTCACCTGATTGTAAGTTCAGGTTTTCAAAGCATGGGTGCCACAAAAATACAATCAGGTAAACCTGAACTTCGCTGAATGCATATATAAACTGATCTAGCTGCCTGATTCCCGCTTTGCCTGGGCCATGCCGCCTTCTCATTCAAAGCCTCACGGCGTTGCTCCGAGGGACTTTTACGGGCAGCGTGGTCAGGGCCGCGTGCAGCGGCGTCAGCAGGGCCAGTACGGGCCGATTCGGCCGCCGGTGGTCGTAGCCAAGTTGCAATTGGCAGCCTTGACCATTTCTTAGTAGAGGCAAGGTTTAAAAATCATGACAACACATCCTGTTCCATTGCCCAATACTCCTGCAGATCCCTCCTCGACGTCCGGCGGGTGCGGCTGACTCTGGAGATTCGCAGCCTGCTGCTGATGCATCTGCCGCTCCGACTGCTCCATTGTCATCTGGTGGTGCATCTGATTCTTCTGCTCCATCTGCTGTTCCAGCTGGCACTTCTGCTGCGGGCGACGGCGCTCCATCTGCTGTTGCATCTGGCACTTCTGCTGCGGGCAACCGCGCTCCATCTGCTGTCTCATCTCCCACTTCTCCTGCGGCCGACGGCGCTGTGCCTCGACAAGAATGGCTAGCAGACTGTTTCTGTAAACCATGGCAATTTGCGGATTTTGGTTCCGGGGACTAGGATACTCTTGGGGTTCGGGCTCTCTTTTCATGGTCAACCCAGGAGATGGCAGCGGCAGTGACCGCAGATGCTGGCCGAGTAGCGGCTGAGACAGCAGAGCCTTTGCTCCAGAACCGGATGTTCTTTTAAGCTATAACCTTTATATCCTTACTGGTTGGGGTTGGGATAAGACTGTAATCGCAAGCCCTTTCAACCCTACCCCCAAGTAACCCGATTTCGACACCGAGTGTACCGACTTTTGGTGTCTGGGTTTCACTCATGCAAGGACCCGGGTCCAGCTGCGGAGGCGCCGGCGGCGGTGGAGCGGCCTTCTGCACCTTCTGCTGAACCTGCGCCGCCGTTTGATGGTGCTGCTGAGGGCTGGCCCTTCGAGAAGCTGGCGGACATCCGGGCCAGTGACTCTGGGCTTACAGGTTCATTCTGCTTTCCCACCGACCCTGATTCAACAGACGCCCCCCTGCCCACCATACCGTTCTGCAACAAAGCAGGGTAGTATAATTATATATCAACTAAATCTTTACTGTGCATCGACCCGGATCCCAATCAAACCTCCCAGGAGCAGCTGCCGTTTGGGTGGACAAAAGTCAAGCTGGAGGATGATCGGATGTATTACTTCAACTCCAAGGCCAAAGTCTGCTGCTGGCACATGCCTCACGTGCTGGATGATTCTGGGATTCCAGTATCATCCATTTTGGTTGTCGCAGTGCAAAGGGGTTGAAGTTTGTTTGAGAGTTGGGTCTTCGGGGCTTCGGATCTTACTTAGGTGCCCGATGCGGAGCCGCTGCCAGAAGGGTTTGAACCCTGGGAGCTGTGGGATGTTTGGGGAAGCAGCAGATCGCAGCGTGTGTGGTTCAATCCTTCTTCTGGCTCTGTGGCGAACTTCGAGGTGTTCGAGACTGGGCTAGAGTGATATGAAAGCTGTTGACGAGCTTTTTAAAGTAAGGTAGGGCATCGATTTCGGAGGGGACTCGGTTTGTTGGTCATGAGCCTTTTTCTCCATCCGAGAAGCAGTACTATGAGACCAAGAGGCCGAGTTGGAGAGGGCCCGTGAGGAGCGGCGACGGCTCGAGCAGGCGGAACGTGATGAAGCGGCCGCTGAAGCGCTTTCTAAGAAGCGGAGGAAGAGGTAAGAGCTAGTGAACATAAGTTTGACTCAGACTGAAGATGAAGTCCTCGTCGTATCTATCGAAAGGGCATCAACACACTAGCGGCACTAGCGTGCCATAATAGGCTTCTGGATTTCCTCTTCCGGTGGTAGGCTGTAGCCGCTGGCAATGCACGGAAGAAGCACCCCGCGGCCCACCACAATACTGCAAAATATCGCTCCCTTAGATGGATAGATAGATAGATAGAAACACTAGCCTGGGCTTAAATGCTTCGTCCGGCCAAGCTCCTTTTGCTGCCGTCTGCTCTTGCGTGAAAACGCTTCAGTTGCAGCGCTTCAGTTGGAGCCGATTGGAAGTCTGTTGGCAGTTGTGGCTTTGGGGTAGGTCAGCCGTGCTGAGGGCAGACTGTCTTGGGCGGAGGGGTTTGCTGAGTGCACCCATTGAACATCTCGATTTGCAGGACAAGCCCTGCAATCTTCATGGAAGCTCCCGGCTCAGTGAGTGTCATGTCCACGATCAGTGTTGCAGCCGTGCTGGCTTTGGCAAGACTGCAACCACACTCCATGTCACGCGGTGCCTTCGTCTGGGTATTCTGCTGAAGATTCTAACCCCTTATCTTGCACAACCTCGTACCCGCAAGGCATGCAAGAGTTGCCACGAACATGCCCAGGTCTGGCCTCGTCGGTTGCTCCGGAGTCGGGGCCCCGACTAAAGCATGTTGCAGCGGATGGAGAGATAACGTATTTTTCCAGTCAAGTGTCAATTAGAGCCAGAAGTTCCAAGCAGTGTCAGTGTGAGCTGCGTGTTGAAGTTGTGATCGTGCTGCCTTGAAGCTGTTCTGAGCCATTGTCAAGTGTACTGAATGCCCCATTGGCTCTAGTCCTTAATCGCTGGTGTGTCAGCGACTGCACCAGGTCCCCGCACAGTGCCTGAGCTACGAGCCTTCAAGCGTGGATGGCCTGGGCCTTGTCGTCCGATCGGCTCCAATTTCTTCGGTGTTTAGTTTCAGGGTAACCGTGGGTTGAATAGAGATAATAAGCGGTAGGTTGAATGGGGATTTCTTAGGAGGTTAGGTTCAAAACTTCCCTTCTTCCTTTGCCCCATCAAGAGAGTACCAAAATACCTTAAGTGGGGAGCCTAGCACCTAGTAGCAGCCCTAGAGGCTCTTGTCTCCTGCCCTCTTGTTTGGGTGCTTGACCGTTAGCTCTCTGTGTGAAGCTTCCAGTAGACTCGGCATCAACATTAATTTATTTTGTTTTCACTTCTCTTTGATCCCAGCATGCCATATACTCGGTTGCGGGCTCCTGATGCTGCTTGCCTAAGATGTGACACCCTGGCACGCACTTCTTGCAAGAGGCGGCCGTGTCTTCGCTCAAGTGTGCTGCTTGCGTCGCCCGTTGCTGTCAGCCCTGAGCCATCATGTCCTCGTGGTTTGTGGCTATTCGACAGAGTCAGTGGGACGCCCTTTGGATGGATCTTGAGTTTATGGAGCTTGTAGATGTCAAGATCCAAGGGCCCGTCATGACGGCTAGTCCCCAGCAGGCAGTGTTCGCAACTCGAACAGATTGTGTAAGAGTATTCTTTTTGGTCATTGGCCGAGAACCCGAGGCTTTATTTGGGCTGGGTGTCCAGTCCTTTGAATTGAGGGATCAAGATGGTTTGAATTTACGATTCCTTTATGAAGTTGACCTTCTTGCAATATTCCTGAGATCTGAGGAGGCTCTTTTCTCCGAGGGCAGACGTCTCAAGCTCAACATCTCCCAAGCTCACGATCGAGCGGTGACCATGGCGGGCCACGTGAGCAAAGAGCTTCCGAAGCACTTCGTCCTCTTGCACATCACAATCAAAACAACCGCAGCAATGACTGCCTTTCCGGAGTCCAAGTCTGGCCGCATTTTGCTTGGAGCTCTGCATTTCGGAGTGGATGATCGCAATGGCCCTGCCAACCTTCGTGGTCACTTCGGGTTGCTGTCCCCGAATTGGGATGTGTGCATCAGGACTCATGAGTTGGCGTGTGGTGTCAGCCCCGTGTGCTATGCCTTGAATGGCTCCCTGGGAGAGGTTACGCATTGGAGGTTCATCGTGGTCATGGAGACCCCGCCTGATGTGACCGCTGTGGCCAAGACTCCGACCGTGTCCGAAGTTCCGCACGGGGTGCTTGGCATTGGCATGAATTAGGTTCTGGTTGTTGTGGGTTCAACATAGTTTAAGGCATTCAGTGCCACCATCTTTTCAGGACCCTGCAACCTGGATGGCGCAGTATGTGCACAAGAACACTTTGGACAACAAAAAGATTCCGGTGACACACAGCTTGATCCTCTTCACGTCCGCGACGGATGCAGTCCTGGTGCACAACCTTTACAAGAAGGCCATGCTGGTGACCCATTTGGTGGAGCTTACTGTTCCGGCAAATGTGCTCCGAGACAACGAGGACTTTTAGTTTTCAAACACTTGATTAGCCAGTCCAAAGCAAGAGCCTCCGTCCCCAGCAACAGTAGAGGAGTTCTCTGTGCGTTGGGTATCCGGCTCCGATGCTCTGTGCACTTATTGGCTCCTGACGACAAAGTCTCCGACTGACAATTTGGTTGCGAATGTGAGCAAAGCCTACACCTGGTTGTGTGGCCAGTCGAAGGCCTTCATGCTCTCCCGTGGCAACCTGGAGGTGACTGCAGACGGCAGCTCGAGGGCCTTCAATGAGATTCTGCGGTCATTGCAGAGCAGCAGGTGCAGCTAGGGCGGGGGTTCCACAGTCCAGGGGATGAACAATGCAAGCCATCTTGTTTAGTCGAAGTCTGCACGTGCAGAAGTAGCAGCCAGCTCGCCGCAAGGCGCAGTAAGCGTGCCAAGTCCTTGCGAAGCCAGCTCCGTGACATCAAGGCTGAGCTGGACGGCCTGAGCTATCCCGATCCTGAAACGGCCTCAGGGTCGAGCGATTCGACCGCCTGACTGTCGTCATAGTTTTCTCCGCGTGCATCGATTTGTCTCAGCATATGGCTGGCATGTGCAGCAGATTTTGGAAGACAGCCCTGCGGCTTCATCGGTGCAACTTTTCATGTTTCGGTCAAGAGACAGAGTCGACTGAGCTCAGAGCGACAAAAGAAGTCGGATTCACTTTGTTGATGTTTCCACATGAAGTACTAGTGTTTGTGTGGGCGGGCGATCCGGTGGATGTGGGTCCATCTCCGTGTCTGAGACATTATTGCTAAATAAATGGAAGCAAGGTCCTGAGACGGCGGCTGGCCCCTGGCACTTCTGCGCTTCGTGGCATAGGCGCCAAGTCAGCTTTTCGGAGTCCTAGCCCTGAGTTAGCATTGCAGCCGCTTCCAATGTGCAAATTGGCGGTATGTGTAGAGAGTGTTCCATGGTTGTTGGAGGCAGGCCTGCTTTCTCTTCCGTCTATTCTTGCGGTCGCGGTCGCATGCTTGAGCCCCGAATCCCTAGACTCGTTTGTGTATTCGTTTGGCTGGGCTGGAAAGAACGTCCTTCAAATTAGGAGTTTAGCATGAATGTTGTGATGAGCATAGTTAACAGTGCATTCAGTGTCCGTGCACACTGCGTGCAGGATGTGTAACGATGCGGCCTGCCGGCTCCTCAGCCAGATGGGCCAGCTGGGCTTCACAATCCACGGTTGCCACCTGTAAACCGGAACATTCAAAGGGTCGGGTTTGGTCGAATGCCTTGGCCTGGTGTTAGATCTGATTGCCTCAGCCGTGTGTGGTGCATTCACACATGTTCCTTCTGACAATCTGTCTCTGACATGATGTTTTCGCAGTTTTGTTGCCTGCAGCTTGGATTAGGCTGATGCACAGACTGAGTTCCCAACATTTGTTTCGCATGTTATGCATGTCACAGGCATGACAGTCTCGGCAATTTGTTGATTTACTGCATTCGTCTACGATTTTACTTGCCAGCCTTCTTGGTGGTACTAGGGCGATCGTGTTGGATGAAGCACTGGTGATGGCTCCCAAGGGCAATCGTGTGAACTCCAGGCGCACTTTGAAGCGGCCTGCTGCCGCGAAGACTCGGGCTCGTCCAGAGCCTGTTCTCCCGAATATCACGGAGGAGAATTTTTGCTTGAAGACCTTCATCTCAGATCTCTGGCGGGCCCTTAATATCCGAAAGACGGATGAGACATCATGGTCCGTTCTCGAGGTTGCTACATCCGGCAGTGGCGTGTGGACAACGATCCATTGCTTGTGGATGATGTTGGGCAAGGCTTGGGTTCGGGAGCTCTATGCCCTCGAACAGGATGCAGTTGCAGCCCAGTTCTTGATGACAAACTTCGCTCCGCTTCATGTCTTCCAGGACTTTGTTGCACAAACCGCATGGCACAGTCCCGGGTTAAACTTCTGTAAGATTCTAAGATAAGAAGATTTCGCAGGAGGGTGTCCAGAATGACCGCAGCTTGTGGTGTTGGAAGCATGGCTGCAAGTGCACGGTGCCGGAGGGAGAGACGCTGTTCGTTGGGACGCACAATGACCGCAGCCTCCAGTCGGCGGTCATTCACGTCGCGGAGCGCAAGCCCAGAATCGCCCTCTTGACGACCGGACTGAAGCCTGTGTCTCAATTTCCGGACAGTTTCTGAGAACTTAATTAGCCGATTAGCCACAGTGCTTCTCCAGCCCAGGTGCGTCAGTGGCCGCGGCAATCAGGATCCTGAGCTCAACAAGGTCATGGAGCGCCTGAGTGCTTCGAGTGGCCCACTTGCTGCCACCAAGTGGGTGGTGGGCGATGCCTCTCCATTGCCCTGTGCGAGACAGAGGATTCTCTTCTACATCGCAGAGGCGAATATGGCTGAGAGGTTGGAGGACATGCAGAAGCGACTTCATGAGCGAGTCCAGGCCATGCCCAAGCATTGTGTGTCAAGCATGCTTCAGCCGCTGAATGTGACCTCCATTCCTGAGGAACTGTCTGTGACAGAGAAGGCCAATTTTGAATCACAGTATCACAAGGCCTTCTCGAAACAGCTTGCCAAAGCAATTCAGTGTGCCAAGCTCCCCAAGGATGTCCGGCTTCCGAAGACGCGGCCTTCGAGCAAGTTCTCCCATGCTTTGACCGCATGGGAATGTGCACAGGTCGATGTGCTCAGCCTTATGTTGGAGCACCAAATTTCCAGCGAAGGCTCCAGTGGCAACGGCAGGCCCAAGCTGGCAGATTATTCTCAGAGCCCCAACCGAGGCACGTTCTTCACCCAAGGTACTTGTGCCAACGTTTCAACGACCTCTAAGTGGTTCGAGTATGACTCGCAGACTCTCGTTTCGCCCGTCAGCTTCTTTAAGATACATGGCCATCAGATGAAGAAGCTCAAGGGATGTGAGGTGGGACATACCTTCTCGGAAGGAGATATCCGCCGCCTTGCTGGGAACGGGGTGACCTGCACCATGATGGTGTGTGCATTGACGCCTGTGCTGCTAGAGCTGGGCTATCTCGAACATGTTCCGCCGAGCTCCTAGGTCCTAGATGCTTTGTGGTCAGCAGTCGGAGCTTCATAGCCGAGGTTCAAAATTATCTCCAGAGGCTTTGCTTTGCTCATGTCTTCTTCATCGCACGCAGCACGAGTGTTGCCCTTGGGGCCCAACCCACATATTTGCTCGCAGATGACTTTGGTTGCCAAGCTTTCGGTTTTGATTAGTTGCCTCGTGGAGCAATGTCCTCCACCGCCCCTCTTGAAGCATATTGGTCCACTTTCACAGGCTTGATGCGTCATGCTCAGGCGTGTGTCGACATCACCACGTTCTTCATTGCAGTGGATCCGGTGTTTAATGCCGTGCTTCATTATCAAAAAGAAATGCAGGCCCAAGGAATCCTCTTTCAGGGACCTAATCATCATATGCTGGCGCAGACCTGTGCTTCGAACGGGGTCCACCCCATGTGTCGAGTGATGTACACAGGCCCAAAGGGGAAGATCGCGTTCAACCCAAAACGTCCATCACCGTCCTTGCCAAGCAAGAATTCTGCCGTGGTGGGACAGATCACGAACCTGTCCCAGCTGAAGTTGCTGGCAGCGTGCCAGGCTGATGTCATAGCAGTGGACATGCGAGAGGTACCTAAAGACCTGGAGGAGTACGTAAAGGGGAACATGCCGGGATACCAATTGGCCTTCGTGCAGCAGTATTGTTACCACAACCTCGGTGTGCCTTTGGGTGCGGAAAGCCATATCCTTGCCTTTAGCCGCCACGTTTCCAAGCAGGGGCGGGAAGGTCTTGTGCAGCTCATGTCCTTGAAGGTGCAGTGCATGGATTTTGGACAGCATGGACCTAGCAAGGAATGGATGTTGCGGGCAACATGCACCGCCGGTTCTGCTCAACCAAGCACTGAGCCAGCGGACGAACAAGGCTAGACTACTGTCCTTTTGTTTATAGACCAGCAGAGAGTTATAATAGGGTGTCGGCTTCGGGTTTGCTCAGTGTTTAGACGTCCTGTCTGAACCAGGCGAGACAGTTGACCCTGGAGCGAAGAACAAGCGGACCTTCTCTGAATTGGTGGCCAAGGCATGTGAGAGCAGGTGGCTGCCAAGCGATTTGCATGCTGAGAGTGTTCGTGGGAAGATGCAGAAGCTTCTTCAGCATGTCGAGTCTGAAGCAAGCGACCTTCTGAAGGTTCATTTGGCAATCTTGAAAAATCAGTCCAAGAAGCAAAAGCGGGAGAATCATGTCTTAGCGGCCGATGCCAATAGTTTGCGCTTCAGCCACCACCGCGTGTATGTGGAAGAATTGCCCCCCATCAAGGCGAAGACTGTTGTCCTCACCTACCAGCCAGAACCCCCGAAGGGCAGGCCTAAGGCAAATATTGTGTCGCATCACGAGCTGTTGAATGCACATGGCTATCCGTCTGGCACAGTCCATGTACAGATGCTGGGGCAGCAGGGTGCTGGAGTTGCAATGTCGAGCGTAGTTCCAGCTGCAGTGGGTCTGTTCCTGTGTGCAGCCGCTGTGCTTCTGCAGCCGCAAGCCGCGGCCAGCTAGTTCTGTCGAAGGCAAGATCTCAGTCACCTAGCCTTGGCCGGCACGGATGAAAATTCTGACTGTGACAATTCTGTGCCGTGCATTGTTGCTGACTTTATGTGTGCATGATGCCTCCCAGCTTCGTTCCTCGGCCGGGGAAGAATTTAGTCTGGAAATCCTTCGTGGAAAACCGAGCCCTCCCCAGACTTGCCCGTCGACGGGCTAGTCTGGGGAAGGTTGTTTTGTTGTGCGCAACGAGGTTTGTCATGCCAAGTCTGGGGCGCAGGGTCTTGACAAAGTCCACTCCGGGGCTGAAAACCAGCTCCCCCAGACTTGCCCGTTGACGGGCAAGTCTGGGGAGCTTTCCGTTTCCCACAAGATAATCCCAGACTCGAATTATGTGCCGGGGCATTTCTCCATCGAACTGAATCAGGATCTCCTCTGCGAGCGAGCTTCGCTTGCAATAGTGATGGCATCTACCCGTCGTTGTTCTGGTAAGCAGGCGCCCGGACAGAATGCAGGCAAAGCTGCAGTGACTCTGCCCCACCCTGTCAATGACATGATGCTGGAAGCAGCCAAGACCGTGAAGCTGGAGGCCTGGCAGCCTGCAGTCGTGGCTTGACCCATGCTCCTTTATGTTTCCATGATGCACTTGTCAGGCAGGCTTGGGTGACCCATGCGACATGGGTGGTGTGCTCGCGATCGATGCCACGGCCTACAAGCAAACCTTGAAGAGAGACCGGGAATACACATGCAACATTACCTTCGACAAGTTCTCTCTTCTGGCTTGGGCGCATCCTTCTATTCCTCCGAACCAAGGCTCTGGACTGCACATTGTTTTGCCCATCCTTGCTTCTTAGTATGCTGTCCTTTTCTGCAGGATCCGTGAAGATCATGCAGCACAGACATTTCACCGAGCCGGACGGAAGCATCAAAGCCCCACCGACGTGGGGCGAGGTGCTGGTGGTCCGGGCAATGGATGAGTCCCAGCCACCCACGATTATGGAGGTTCTGAACGGGGATGCCTACCGCCTGGGCCTTTGAATATGTCGGTCCTTGGAATAGGTTCCTTGCTAAACCGTAAAGCTTCAAGCAATCATTCCCTGCGATGCCAAGGGGCAGCTTTCTTGATCAGTTGGGCGGCAGCGCCTGCAGATTCAAAGGTGGCGAAGCAGTTTGAATCCTTGGCACGAGCTGTCCGGGTGACTCGTCTGTCGTCTGTCTCGCCTCGGCTGAATCGCACCTCTGTTCCTTATCCGTGCTAAAGGTCAAGTTCGTTCTTCTGGCGGATGCGGCAATGGTTGAGCGGAAGAAGTGGGAATTGGCCGAAGAAGTAGGCGCTGCAGTCGTCACAGTGTTCTAGGACCAAGGGAAATTTATGATTGTGGAGCCTTGTGCAACAGGTGATGCCCGAGAGAGCCTCACCTTGCAAGGGTGGAGAAAGATTCTTGGCATGGCCGTTGTGGAGGCCACCTTGAAAGGCATGGGCCGTCCCTCCAATGCGGATGCATTGGAGAAATGGTGCCCTAGTTGCAGCTCGTGGCTTGTGAAACTTGCATTCATACAGTGTCCAGGCAAGAACAGCTCACTTAGGTTCGGAGAGGGCAAGATTCGGGGGATGAGTGCCAAGAATATCTCGAAGTGTTTGAAAATTCACAAGCGGCTTACAGCTGCAGATGCTCGTGCACAAGAGATCATTGCTGAGTTTGATGATCGGTTTGGCAGCAGGCACACGCTAGCATCGCAGCAGAACCTGGACATCCTCGTGACACGCACACATGTGAGTGGCAACGAGGCCGTGTCGAGACAGCTGCTCCTGTGGTGTTTGGAACACTTCGAGAATGATGTTCAGCGTGGTACCGTGAGCTTTGATGCGGCCAAGGCGGCCTTTAACCTGGCCGTGTCCAGGAGCCTCTTGAAGAAACGTCTCATCAATTATGTCAGCAAGAGAGTCACCATGCCGGCGAAGCCAACAGACGGTGTCGCTATCCCCACAATCGACAGCATTTTCGGCACCTTTGCGAAATTCCGGAACAGCGGGCTCGATCATGGCAGCACCCTCGTGATGACGTGGAGGGCGTCTATGCCTTCCTACCTGCAGGACACATTCGATTTCCTGACCAAGCTCATGCGTGGAGGAGGCCCCCTTGACGAGAGCCTCGAGACCTTTCTCCAAAAGGATTCCTTGGTTTCAGCCGAACTGGTCTTGAGGGCTCAGTCTATGAAGGATCACTTCGACATCGTGGCTGTCACGCAGGCGGCCAGCCAAACTGCACAAGACGAGAAGGCAGCGTCGGCGCCGCCACCCGTTGCTCCACCTTCCCCGCCAAAGCCAGAATCGACAACGGCACTTTCGCCGCCGGAGCTGCCTGAAGATCCTGAGGTTTCTGCTGAGGAGTGGCTGTGTAAGCACTCACATAAATGTGTGTGTGTGTGTCCGAACGAATGCATGCACCAGTGCCAGGACTTGATTGAGGCAGCTGAGCATCCACAACGCCTCGATCGAAGCATCTACTTTGACTCTTTGCCCTTGTCGTCTGTAGCCAAGGACATTCTGAACAAGGTTCCGGACGACAGTCAGTTTGAGCAAGTGCTGGAAACGGCACGATTGCGCAGCTTGACTCCTATGTGGGATCACATTACATGCTCTGACTCACAGCTTTGCCCATAGGAAGCAGGGTGTTGCACAGGTGCCAACACATTCCTGGACTTGCGTGTCTGGCCCACTGACGCGACCAACTTGAGAGCTGCTTTGCAATCCATTCCGGATGCACAGAACAGGGTCTACATCTATGACACCAAGAATGAGACGAAAGACACTGGCCGGGTGGCGAGCTATGCACCGTATCGTCGTCCCCCAGCCCTGGAGAAGAAGAACATCAAGATTGTCGGCGAGGCTTTGTGCCTTGACCCTATATAATCGACTGAGCAGTTGAATGCCTTATGAGGGTGTGCAGTCAGTAGTCTGAGGTTTGGGGACCCCGCATTGGCGAAGGACAGCTCCAGAGCTCACCCGGTGATCTTTCGTGCCTGCGACATGTTTGTCTGCATGGATGGCAGATCCCCTTCGAACCAGAAGCAGATCACAGCCGAGCTTACCCGATGCATGAAGCCACATGCGAGCATGTTCCCCAAGCTGGCCAACGGCTTGATCACAGTCCGCATGCTCTACCACTGTCGGGAATTTGAGGGATCGGGGCGATTGGCGATGGCCAGGCGAACGTGTTTGACCCAAACATGCCCAGACCCGATGGAAACCATGGTTGTCATTCAACCCAAGGCGTACACGCTTCCGCAGCGGGCACTGCCGCTTGTCCATAGTGACTCCTATTCCAGAGCTTGGACAGGCCTGGGATTGAGAGACCCGAGCGATATGGAGTTGACGACCATGCTTGATGCGAGCAAGCTCCTGCCGAAGACAGAGAAGCAGAAAGCGGCTGCGGAGGCAGCCGAGGCTGGCACGGATGATGCCGAAGAAGTTCATGCTGTTTCAGACAGTGATGATGGTGCTGTGGACGGTGCAGGCAGCCAGGCTTCAGAGTGTGAGCCCGCAAGAGGTGTTCTCTTTGTGGCCGTGGGCGTCTTCCGAGGATGCCTGGACAAGCATTTACACGGCATTCCACCTGGTAAGCCCGTCTCAGACCTGGATCATTGATTTCACAGCAGGGTGTGGCCTTGCGGCTCTCGCGGCCGTGAGGGGTCGCTTTCACTATGTCGGCTTCGCCACTTCGGAGGTCCACTTGAAGTTTCTCCGCCAATACGTGATGTTCCGCATCGTCTCCGAAATGGTGTTGAATGTGGATCCACACGCATGGAATATTCGCAAGCGGATTCTGTGCCGTGAGAACAGTTTGACTGGCTCTAGCACTACGGAGTCCAATGCTGAGACTCTTCCGCCAAGGACCTTACTTATCTTGTGAGTATGTCTGCAGATTCAAGTGTAACTTTTGAACATGGCCAGGACAGACGCTGACGGAGCTGTGAAGAAGGAGGTGGATTCTCCTAAAGGCTCTGCCCCTAAAAAGACTAGGAAGAGTAGCAGCACCAGCAGCAGCAGCAGCAGCTCCTCCTGATTTTCGATGGAGTCCGACACTGACAGACTCCAGTGCGATTTTGAGTCAAAGCTCTCATGAACAAGATTCCAAACTGCTTCTGGGGTCGCCAGTGTTTCTGCAGAAGCTGCTGGATTTTGGAACCGGCACGGTTGCCCTGCAACCACGGCACGCACAGACTGTCGTGTCGATTCTCCATTTCGCAACTGCCGAGCTGAAAAGCGCTAAATCCATGCCCGCTTTGCTTATCATGTCTGCCCTTGGTTGTTCTGGGCTGTTTTTGCTTGCTGCAGAGTGACCTCTGATTACCTCTCCTTGACCTCTGCCGGACCTCTGCTTTGTTTCCTGGCGCCATGGGGAAATATGTTCGGAATGCGAAATTGGGTGTCAGCCGCCCGAGGAATGCTTACTCGTCCTTTTGCAGCCATGCCAGGCGGCATGGTGTGCATCCAAAAATGAAGACGCGGATCCGTGGCAAGACCATTTCGTTCGAGCGTGGCAGCTGCAGTGCCAAGTGGTCCGGGCCCCAGACTACAGCACAGCTTCAAGGAAGACTAGTCTAGTAGGTGCAGACAAAAGATGTTCGCTCAGGCAGTCCATGACAGAAGCAGAAAAAGAACCTTTCTATCAAGACGCCGCGAAGCAGAAAGCCTTCAACAAGGCCATGCCGCTTTGTTCTTTCACCAGCCTCAGGCAGCCTCCTGTGCAGGAACTTCGAGCAGAGGCACTCGGTCGGGAGAACGACACGGACAACGAGCCAGAGGTCAGTCTTTGAGTGTCAACGTCAGTTCAGGTTTTCTCTTGCATTGGTCGTGGGGCCGTCCAGGTCCACGATGATGCAAATCGCTTTGTGGGAGAAGCCCGACCCGAGCCCGTGCAAATGGCTCACATCAGCAACCGCTTGGAGGTCATGGAGGCATTGGGCGAAGGGGGGTATGGCTTGGTGCGCCGGGTGACGGACCGAGCCATGTCTGTCTTGAGATGTGTCTGGTAGTGAACTCAAGCATGGAATCTGATGCTACAAGTTTGACTCTCAGGATACACGGGAGTGTCTTACGCCTGCAAATTCCAACAGCCAGAGGCATCGTGTCCTGAAGCCACGGGGGAGAGCATCATCACAGAGGACGAATATCTTCGCCGAAGTGCACACCCTCATGTGATCCGTACCTTTGGTCTGGTCTCCCGGCCCAACAATTCCACGACAGGGGTTGGGCTCCTGATGGAGCTTGCAGAAGGCTGTTTCGTTCACCATTGCCGCGAGTCCTTGCCGCCTGTCATCAAGTCATGGGGATATGTTCATCAGATACTACAGGGTCTGAGCTACATCCACTCCAACCGCATCTTGCACGTGGACTTGAAGCCACACAACGTACTGGTCTGCAGGGCGAGTGATGGAAGTGCGATCTTGAAGATTTCGGACTTTGGCCTGGCCGTAAAGCTGCCGGGCGACCAGCTTGGAGTCATGCTTCCTGGACGAGAAGTTTGCACACAGAACTACAGGCCTCCTGCAGCAATGATTGCTGGCTCCAGCAAGGCGCGGCCACCGTACTATAGCAAGTCTTGACACTGAAATATGCCTGACAGCAGCCTTGTGCAGGTTTGGGTGACGGCATCCACAGATGTATTCGCGATGGGCTGCCTGGCTTTCTTTGCCTTCAGCGGGGGGCATTCCTTGTTGAAGGAGAACTACAAAGAACATGTGCTCGCAGCATCGGCCGCTGGACGTGTACAGAAGCTGTTGGATGAAAAGATTGCTTTGAGATCGAAGCAATGCCTGCGCCCAGACCATGAGCATTCACAGCAATCTCAGATAACTTTTGTCTCCAAGTGTGTCCGTGCAACATGCCGGCAGCGAGAGACAGTTCCAGCATTGCTGGTGCGATGCCAATTGGCATTGGAGAATCTCGTGCGGGCGTGATTTGCCGCTGGCTCTACCAGCCGAGCGGCACAGTGTATGCACTCGCAGAGGGGCTGCGAAATCAGAAGCCGTGCTCCCATGCTTGATGTTTTCTTGCAGCCCAAACCATTGCCATTGCAGAGTGCTTGTTGATGTTTTCGCTCAGGCTCGGCCGCCTCTATCCATGGAATCTCGTGGGACGCCTGGGCCCAAGGAGGCTTAGTGTGTGCACTTCTTCACCCGCGAGGCTTTCCTACTTAAGCAAGTGGGGCAGTCAGGATCGAGAGATGAGAGATGTCGTAAACAGTTATCTTGCAGCAATGCCATGGTCTGTCAATGGCACGGATAACTCCGAAGTGAAGGTTGGGCTTGGGGAATGATTCCGCAGCAATGCGATAGTTGGGCTTAAGGGGTTCCGCAGCAATGCGATAGTTGGGTTAAGGGGTTCCGCAGCAATGCGATAGTTGGGTTAAGGGGTTCCGCAGCAATGCGATACTTGGGGCTGGGTTGTTCCGCAGCAATGCGATAATCCACTTTCGCAGCAGTGCGATAATTAGCCACAAGAATATTGTAGTCTATATATGGGTGTAGTGACCGCTACAGTTGCTCTTCAGACAAGTTGTGCCAGGTGCGAAACACTCTGCCGTGTCTTTGGCCACGCCGGCCAAGTTGGGTGGACCTGTGATTGGGGCCTGTGAAACTCTGACCTCGAAGCCCTAAGCCCTAAGCCCCGCAAACAAATCAAGAACCGGCCGAAACCAAATACCCTTTACTCCCTTTACCAAATCTCAGCTCTAAATAGGCTCCCCGGGTCCTCTTGTACCCTGCAGGGTATATACTCACCTACAGCCCAACGACCCATAGTCTCGCATCACTAAATGCCCGGAACAATCCCAGATGAAATTGCCCCGTTGAAGTCGAAACCGTGAATTTCGCAGAAGAAGCCTTCCCCTTTTCAGATCCTCCTCAGCTCCTTGGGGCTCTTTAGGTTTGGTGCCAGGACAGTTGCAGGGTTACAGGGCGTTGGATAGGGGGTGGTGTGGAGGCCTTCTTAGCGTGATAGGTGTTTAGTTCAGATCAGATCTAGAATCTGTGCACGAAGTCGGCAGGTCCCTATAATAAAAAGCATCATAGAAGATCTTCTGCGAGTGCTGAAGCATGCCATGGAAGCCGAGCAAGAGCGTCTGCTGCAACGATTACGGGATGCAAGACAAGCCTCCCTGCAACCAACACGGCAACACTGCGAGCTGCGTGGCGACCAGCAGGAGAGCGATGAAGAGCATGCAAGGACCTGTGGGAAAGGTCTATCATGCTCCTTGCTTGCACAGCCCTGTGCCTGGCTAGGGGCTTTTCAATTCAATCGCAGAGAGTCTCAGTTCAGTTGTTCATCCAGGCACCCGCTGCTATTTCGCAGCTGGTTTCTTGGGTGGCTTGCGGCGGGGCAGCAAGAAAGTCTGCCCTCTGTTGAAGCAGCATGCCTGGAGCGAGAAGTTCCAGTTCAAGCATGCAGCTACAGGACCGGACTTGCCTAAAAAAAAACTGACTAGTTGCTTACAGAGCAGTTGTGCTAGGAGAGATGAGAACGTGGCTGACACAGCGTCCGCCTTCGTTCTCTGGCCCTTGGGCGTTTGGGTGCTGGCTGTGTAACTCTTTCGATGGCAAGCCGCTCGTGCTGCAAGCAGCACCAAAATGGTTCCTGAAGTATTGTTATCTCGACAGGCATGTCCAACACAACCCAAGGTCCAAAAGTGCTTTCGCCAACTTGACCGTGACCAGCAAGGACATGCTGCAGAGTTCAGCTTTGACCGACCACGCAGGGGGCCTGCATCACCAGAGGGCCTTGTTACAGGTGGAGGCAACAAAAAATGAGGATGCATCGTCCTGGGATTCCTGCACACCATCATTGAGCCGTTTCTTCATGGCTGCCACCATAGTTGGCAGGCACGACAGCTACGAGGATCGGTCAATCCGGGAGCCGTAGCATTGCAGGGCATGAATAAAACAATTCCTGAGACAGGACTTCCGCCAGTTCTGCAAGTCGCAGGACGTGCAGAGTGACAACAGCACACGTGTGTGCAGACAACTAGTCACTGCAATGAGCACCGTCGTGGCAGAGCTCGACCGTGCGGTTATCGCACAGGCAACAGTGGGGTAAAAGTTCCAAGTCAATCAAACCGTACACCCCACCAATAACCCTAACACATACTAAACCATAAACCTCACCCGGAATCCGATTCAAACCTGCCAGTCCAACATGGCCTGCCTCTGCCTCGATGAACGCGATGGGATCGTTCTCGTACGAGCCCGCTTCTTCTATAGAGGCCAGCAAGTGACGTGACAGGACATGTGCAGACACTGCCTGCGGATGTTTGCTTTGCTTTGGCAGGCTTGAAAGGCACCAGTCTCCCTCGCATGGGCGTCTACCAGTGTTTGCTCGGCATAGCTCGTGATTTCGGCCCCAGCCCTGTGCCCTGGCTCGGATTATGCCTCTGATTACCTCTCCTCGACCTCTCCTCGACCTCTCCTGGTTTTAGACAGTCTTGTGAGATTCTCCGAGGATAATGTCAAAGCAGCTGTGAATGCCGTGCTGAAGGCGGCCGCGACAGTGAAGCGTGGCATGCGTGAGAAGGACGGCCAATCTGGAGCCCAAGATGTTGTGGACAAGGAATTGCACCATCATCTGAAGGACAAGGGTTGGAAAAGAGCTTCATTTAATTTAATGATATCATAGCAGAATAGAATGTCTGTGATTTGTCCCCTGCAGAACATCATAACTTGTGCGGTCGCAGATGGGGGCCCGGCAGAGCAAACGGCCCTATCCAAAATGTCTGACTTGTTGCCTCGTCTTCAACACGTTGTCGTCGACAGGGCACATCGCATGCGAAACTTGCAAAGGGGAGCCTGGCCTTTTTTGGATGAGCTGTCAGGTGGGCTTCTGCAGCTTCTAATCACAGGCGAGGCCAGTCTGGCTCGCATGTTGGAGGATTCAGGCAAGTACCGAATCTTATGGGCGGAATCGCAACAAAAGGAGTTCAGTCAGGCACTCCGGAATTTCAGCTATGCAAAGCAGAGGTTCAACAGCTTGAGCATGCCATTGTTCAAGCTTCTCAGCAGCTTGAAATCCGTATATGCTTTCCTGGTGCAGCTGGCTGCAGAAGGCGATCGTGACGACCGGCGTTTTGCAGAGACTTTGTTGACAGAGCTGTCTGGCCGAAGTGCATTTCAGCACTTGGTAAATGCCGCTCTGGCAGCCGATTCGATGTTGATTGGCCAGCGCTTCTTGCGGCTCGCGGACACTGACAATGACGAGGCCTGTGTCACGGCACAGCAGGCAGGCCCCGGCTAAATTGACACTTCTGCTAGCCGAGTCCAAGCCTATGAGTGCACACCTTTATTAAGTGCCAACAGCGAATTGAACACAGCACAAATCCCAGCAGGCAGCGGAGACGATCCACACGATGGAACACATGTTTGACAAAGGCGGCGTATTCTTGCCGAGTGCAGCAGCTACTGTTACACAGACCGTGATCCGCACCCTCCAAGATATCGGTATCATAACTTTTCTTGGGAATCGTACCACGGGTAGCCGGGGCCCTCGCCCACTCAGGGCGGTAGCTGTTTGGGATGTCTCCGAAGGCGACCTCACGGAATCTCGACAAGTGGCTCAGAAGGTGTACAGAATCTACAAGGCCTTTTTTGATTCAAATTTTCCTCGCCATGAATATAGCAATGCTTTTGCTGCTATGGACTTAGAAAATGATCTGACGCTGTCCCAGCGGGGAGAACTGGTGCAGTCTATTGCCCAACAGAACCACATGGACGGTGCGAAAACCTGGTGAGCCCATGCATTAGAAGGCACTTTGTTTGGTGGTAGCTTTAAGTCTTGTATGAAGTTGTTTGTTCTTTTGATATTGTCTTCCAGCCCACATTTCCAGGAAGCAGCTGAGCGGCGGAGGTAGCGATGACGGGCTTGGTGCTGGCGGCCTGCTCGCCAGAGCGTTCTGGCATCTGAAGGAACAGCGCCAGGGCTCCAACAATGCCTGGTTGGCCACACTTCGAGAGCTTCGGAAGGAGCAGGCCGCGGTGCGCTTGGAGGCATGCTGGCTGGTGCAACACACTTTGACGATTGGAACGTCCACGGCATCAGTCGAACGGAATCTGCACGAAGTTTCTGTCACAGAGTTGAAAAACAGAGCTCACAGATTGCACATCTACGCTCTTCAAGACGCTGTGAAGTTGAGTGTGCATGGGTGCGCTTCTGCTGACAGTCTTCGGGACGGCAGGGATGCTAGTGGCAACTGGAAGCCTTCCAAGTTTGCTGTGCAGGCACAGGCTGTATATAAAGAGTTTTTCGGTGCACGCGAAACTGAGCAGCGAAGAAATGGAGCTTCGGGATCGGACAAGCCACGCCTGGCTGGAC